TCACCGCAACCCCAGAAGAGCAGTGTTCAAGATATTCTTGGTTTGTTTGACTCTTCCCCTTCCCCGGCATTGTCTGCCCCTGCTCCTTCCTCTACCACGTCCGCTTTTGCCACCTTCTCTCCACAACCACAGAGCCAGGCGCCTCCCCAACCCTCTCCACAACAACAGCATCCACCTGCGCCACGGTTGACCTCTTATACTGCCTATGATAAGCAGGAGCTCAAGATTACCCTTACGCCTCAGACCTCAGCTGCGCGACCAGGTGTCGTCAACATCATGGCCCGCTTCCAAGTGTCCGGTTCGAACGCTGCTACCGGACTTAACTTCCAGGCTGCTGTTCCAAAGGTAAGGATCAGGAGTCAACAAGCTGGTGACCATCTTACTGAGCTGTTATACAGTCACAACAACTGCAGATGCTCCCTATGTCGAATTCCGATGTTCAACCAGGTACCACGGAAACTCAACAAATGCGTGTGATGGCACCACCTGGTGTATGTATCCCTTGTTTCTTAATGTTAAAATCATTTTCTGATTTTTATACAAAAGTCCAATATACGGCTGCGGCTACGTATATCATATACCCTTGCTGGCCAAGCAGTTCAAGACCAGATAGATTTCTCGGGTTTCCCGCCAGGGTTAACAGGTAGTGGTTAGCTTGTGGTTAGGGTGTACGGTATTCGCTATCTAAGCTGTCGCGCACGTACTAGTGATATTAGTATCTGAAACACACATGGTCTATGTGTTGCATACCCGAACAGAATATGGATATCATCGGCTATCCTCGAGCTTTATCACGACACGAACAAGAGGTAACACCTTGGATACAAACTGATTCAGTCTTAATCGTAAATAACACACGATTTGCTCACTATGCTGAATGTCATGAGACCATGCCAATTGTTGAATCGACAAGGGATCTTCATAGTACATACGTAAGATTGGGAGTTCGACAAGAGGCAGACACGTACCGTCCCTAAGCCACACATCAACTTGAGGGGGTTGCCTCTTACGAATAGGGGGATCTCTCAGCAATTCCAAGGTCTTGAGACGAGGGCAACGATTGATGATAGCAATGGCGATGTTTCTTTCAGCTTGCGATCCCTCGAGGTCCCGCTTCACTCCCCAATGGATATGTTCCAGTGTCGGGAACAATGCTACCCACCCAGCCAATGCGGCAGTGAAACTAGGCGAGGGCAACTCTTCATTTTGGCCCTTCCAAACAATTGTGAGAGATGCAATGGGTGGCATCGCTCTCTCCGAATCTGCACTGCTTTGTGACAGCAGCCAAGACATGTGTTCCATCTTGATTGCTATTGAGGTTACGTAAACTTTGTCTCTGGCTACCATCGCATCGAGACAGTCGTTCAAGGATGAGATGTAATCATCCGCATCAGGGTCGCTGATGTTTACATGTTGCAGGACTTTGAAGCTAGGCTGAAGGCGAAGGATGTGCCCGACATCATTTGGCAATCCCACAAGTGTCCTAAGTTTGGGGAGGGCATTGAGGGTGAGGACCGACTTGTTCTGTGCCTCATTGTCCTCCAAGGAGAGGCCTTTCGTGGTCAGTGAGGTGAGCCCGTTATGGCGTCGTAGAAACTGTGTCAAAGATTGAAGCGACAATGAATTGGAGGAAATAACAAATTCTCGAAGGTGGCGAAGGCGGAGCATTGACAGGATATGGGTCCACTTTGGCGCATTGCGAAAGCGAAGGTCAAGTGTTAACGAAGTAATGATAGAATCATTGAGTGTCCGAATGGTCCATGTGCTCATAAATGGTGCGAAGAAGTAGTCCGTTGAAAGGTTGACTGTTTTCAATGTGGTGAGGGAAGGCGTTATTGTGATCCAGTAATTCTCGTCACGTTTGTAACGGCGAAATAATTTCCTACAAAATCTGGCAACCGTCTGCGTGGTGATAAGCAAGTGGATAGGAGAAGGGGAGAAGTAAATAAACTTACATCCACGGTGCTGACCACGCCTTCCAAGCGTAAAGCGCGAGTCAGATCTATTACTCCTGGAACCCATGCTCTATCTGTGTGCCCCCCAGTTATGAGCATGTCTTCACATCCCTGTTTCTTGATGACAATCATTAGATCTATGAGTCCAAATATGACATGTCTCGAGTATGGCTCCATGCCACGCCCGAAGCGCAAGTGGAGGTTGCGGAATGGCTCCAACTTTGAGATGAAACGTGTGAGAAACCTGAGTTGGGCATAATTGTTGACCGTACAGCAGACGGAATTACATTTCTTCACCCAGAGTGCCAACAAAAGCCCGCGTAATGCAGCTAGGGTTGGCTGGCAAATACTGGCAGGCGCGTTCGTAGGGGCATTGACGCCGGCGAACCGATCGAAGTAGACGGTGAGTGCAGCAAAATGAAGCTGCTTTGAGACGGTGCAAAGTACTAGAAGTTGATCATTTGTTAGATTCTTGGATATATGACATAAGAGTTCGCTCGGAAGGTCCAAAAGACGATGCATCGTCGCGGTTGCGATAGCTGAGAACATGGCAATGAGTACACAATGCGGATGGCAGGCACCTTAGCTCACAGCCACTACACGGACTCGTGCCATGTATCTTCTATTGCCCACGCTACAAACCCCTGTCATTGAATGTCACTGTAGTCATATATCCTTGGTCTAAGTACGCCGCTACGGGGAGCTCAGGCTTCAGACGCGGAACAACCTGATCCATATATGTGACTACTATTCTCAGATCGCTCGTTGCAGCATTTTGGGACCACCGGACTCGGAGCGCTCCCAAGTTCCCACAACTTAAAGATCACTGGACCAGGGACCCCCCCACATATTTTTAAATTTCTATTGGGTTTGCACGCGGAAGATATTTCCAGACCATTGCACATCATCTTTGATATATCTACACGCACCACAAGCGCATTGGGAGGGCAGATCCGACACCAATCGCAATGCAAACCATTCCAGCCATCAACCAATACGCCATATTTCCAACAAGAAGTTGCTTCTCGATACTCAGTGAATAAGCAGAGTTCACCAACGCCGGCCCAATAGCTCGTATGACGGACACCACGGTTTGCGCAAGCCCATTTGTTGCACCAATTGATGCTCGGTTGGGTGCGGATGCATTGATGTACATGAATACGACACCTGTGCAAGTAACACTGAGTAAATATTCACCACGGTCTAACCGACCGTCATGCGTACCATACGCAGAATATGAGATTACGAAGGCGAGGAGCTGCAGGCCTACCAGGAGGTAGGCAAAATAGCTCAGTCCCTGTGCTTTGGCCGTGAAACTGATGGCTGGGAACAGTGCGAGCATTGGGAAGTAACTGAAGACAGAGAAGAGATACAGATTTCTTCCTCCTAGCCAGTCATGCAAGCGCACAAAGAATAACGCTTGAAGCACTCCATTTAGAATACCAAGCACAGCCAGAATGATGCCAATGGCTGGAGTATCCAGTCCGAGGCCACCCATTTCAATGGGTGTAGCATAAAATACTGGTTGAACAGCACGGAATGAGATTTCAATCAGGGCAACAGCGGCATAAGCGCAGGTTGCGATGACCACCCGTGTCACCAGCAAATCGCGGAACGGCAAGGGCTTCATTTTTGATCGAAGGTCAGAATCAGATGGCATGGTCCGCAAAGCACTTCTTTCGCTCTCACGCAGTCCGAGAAGCCGAGCAAAACTAGTGCTAGGTTGTGTGCTCTGTAGACACGGTAAGTTTCCAATTCAAGTGCTTGGGGATTGACAAACCTCGCTGAGAAACAAGAACATGACGCACCACCATACAAGCGCTAGTGTTCCTATCACGCCACAAGGAAGGAAATAAGGATACGCCTTTAGGAGTTCAAATCTTCCAAATAATTCCGGATACCGAACTGTCGGATGAGCAAGAAGTCCGCCAACAAGAGGCCTGCAAGTCCAAACTTTCAGTCAACCAAGAATTGAACGACAGAAACGAACGATCACCCCAGAGCGATACCAGCCTGCCAAGCAAATGGAATATACCCATACGCCTGAGGCATGTTCGTGGAGTCCGTGATATCCGCGACCATGCTCTTCATCACTACTACGTTACCATTGAGCGCACCACACAGACAACGGCTTGTGTCGTTCAATACAGGATCAATTACTAACGATAGGTCATACACACCTCAAGATGACACTCCAAAAAGTTCTTGAAAGTCCAAAAGAGTACATGGAAATGGAGATGCCCGTGAGACCAATCAATAAAATTGGCTTGCGGCCAACAAGATCAGACAGACGACTCCAGTGAAAAGTGGTCAATGCCTCAGTTGCAAAGAAAAGTGATTGCTACATGTATAAAAGATTCAACAGACAATTATTCCATCGCGTAGTGACAGTTGCGTACCAGTAGGCCAACGTAAATTCCAACACGGGCTTCTTCGCCATTGGTCACTCCAATGTCTCGTATTAGCTGGGCGTCTTTCGTCATCAATTGTTTGAGTGCAATACAGCAGGTACTGACCTGTGATGTAAACGGCGAAATGACTTGCGAAGTCATTGGTTCTAGGACTTGAAGCGACAGTATGATAGAAAATTGGCCCCACGGGAGAGGCGTCTTGCCTATAACTGTCGGCTTCTGTTGAGGTTCTACACAGTCATTAGCATGCAACAGAGGAGTCTCTTCGTCAGCGGTTTCAAAGGTCATGATTGTTGTATGCTAAAGTTCAAATTTGACATTTTAGCTTATGTACAATTCAAGGACAGGTCCCTTGGCGTCATTTGTGGGGATAATGGAAATTGATGCACCATGAGCACTTAGCCGCGCCGTACGGTTGGTAAAAGTGACTCACGCTGCTGAGAATGCTTTGTGTGCAGATCCTGAGTTCATTAAGTATTCCTAGGTCTAGGCACTCGAAATAGAATTCGAACCACCAATCGACTTGACCCCGCAACTTCGATGCTAGAAGCCTATGTTCTGCGTTCCAACCCAAATTAGAATAGCAAACTATCGATCAGATCCATTCGTGAGCTCTGTGTTTTTAATCAGTCGTTTTAAACGGAGCGAGGTGACAAGACACTGACGCCCATACACAAACAGTATCTTTCATCAAACGATACCTAGATCTAATTCCCTCCAAGATGCTGTTTTCGATTATTATTGAGAAAGAAACAAGCTCGTCTGTCGCACCCACGGACGCTCGGTTAGGGGCTGCCGGGTTGATATGCACGAACGTAATGTCTAGAACAACAGATCAGAAATTATATTGTCGATGAGAAAATGTCAACAAACGAGATGACCCGTGCTGCTCAGAAGAGTAACATGTAGTCCCACCAAACCCCATATATTACTCTGAACAACACCACATAATCAGAATTGCAGGAGTCAGTACCCATAGATAATGACGGAAAAATGATATGCGAGAAAGCATCGAAACCAGTCACAAAGCCGCTCGGGAAATGAGTTGACGAAACATTGAGTGCAGCATATCACTACGAAGGATATGATATGTATGTTCCCTATCTTGTCTTTATTTCGACTGTTGCATAGTCCACGTCATCCGATACCATGTGACTTTAAAGTCGCGAGAGGGTACTTCTACACCGAAGAAGGACTGATCACGAGCAGATTGACGTCGTGTCCCTCGGTGTCCCTCGGATGACAGCATAGGGGGCGGTAGTAGTACGGTAGTACGGATGTTGACAGTCGAGCTTCTGGGGGTTTAACCGACTCAATTACAATTGTACTATCTGTCATCAGGTAGATCTGAGTGTCGATGTTAACTGGATAATCATAGCACGCACCTTGGTGAGTAACAGAACTACTCGTCCCAACGCATGGCAGACGGAACCCAATAGGCTCGCCCGTAGTGCTCATCTTGAGAATCGAGCCAACAAAGGCCATCTCGAAGAAGCATATTCTCCAGAGCAGCTCGAGCACGTTCTCTTGGCCATCCTCGACGGTTCTCCAGGATTGCTTCAACGATCCGCCCTCCTTCTACTTGTGCTTCCGCAATAATGACAGCCTGATCTGCATCTAGTTCCTTGACCACGCTTCTTACCATCTTCTTTCCACCACCAACGTCAAGCACCTCGTATCCAGCGCCGAGCGGTTGGAGTGTCTTGATGCTTTTTGTGACATCTTCCTCTGTAACGACGCCACTCTCGACACCACGCAGCTTGCTGACCATACGTACGAGCTCCCCCATTTCTATCACGCCCCCGTTCCTCTCCCTCGTGCTCACGCACACGTCCACTATCTGAACTCCCAGCTCATACTGCCAATCACCCATCCCAAGCATTTCTGCCCACCAGCCGCCCTTCCTTGGTCCAGCGAGCGGGTCCACGCCGATTGATGAGCACATTTGCTGAAATGCATGGCGAAATGCTGGATCGCTCCGAATCGAATCTCTGTGTGTCGTTGCGAAGTGCGAAAGGGCAGTTCGGAATTGTGTTAGTTGCGACTGTAGATTATCGACCTGGGTTTTCGAGAGCTCTGAAGATAGTTCTGCAAAACGCTGCGATAGTTGTTCTTTGTCAAAAGCAGCGAGACCAACGCCGCGATGCATGTTCAGTTGGTTGCTTCACTAGGAAAGGCTGAAAGGGCAGTTCGGAATTGTGTTAGTTGCCGGCGGAGATAAACTTGTTTCCATCAGAAATAAAGGTGGCACCTTCATGCGAGTCTGGCCGTGATTCCCAGGTTTTTACTGTGCTCTCTTCGAATTTGCACGTCGCGATTTTTGATGTGTCGGGTTAGTACTACTAGTTCACCCCATCTGTACCTGGTCTTGATTGGACCAAGTACTGTTTCTCCACTCTCGACATTCCACACTCTTGCCGACCCATCATTGGATCCACTCATGCGCTACTCTTTCGAACTTCGCCTTCTCCACTCCAGCAAACTGATCGCACCAAATTAGTGTGCCCCGTTCATTTGGCAATATTAATGCCGCCCCCGTTTCTTTTTTTTTTTGGAGAAGCGAGTCTATTACACAGCAACTGACACTGTCTAGTCCTATGTAAACGCTTATAGCGACGCACCGGCGTCGTCCGAGGACAAAATGCTACTTATGTACACTCCGCGTCTGGGAGTAGTGTGGGACTCCGTATACTACCTGGTAACCTCGGTCTGCGGGGGCCTTGGTAGTTTGATACCCACTAAAACCTCTAGGGTGGTCACCCAGTCGTTTGTGCGTGTTTGTGTGTTTTTGTCGATGTCGATTACATCAGCCCACGTGTTGTGGACGTGTGTCGTCGCTTTTGGGGTTCGTTTCGATTTACATGCAATCGCTCTGTCCAGTTGTAGGCGTCGGTTTATTGCATTGGTCCATCGTTTGACGACGCTGTTGTCCGTGTGAGTTTGTTCTTTTATGGTCCGTTCGCAGCGCAGTACCCATATAAGATGGGCAGATTCTGACGTTAGTATTCTTAATAGGCGTGATGCCCCTTTTCGCTCTGAGATTGCTTTTGCGTTGTCAGCATCATCGGGGTTTCGGTCTCGGGGTAGTTGTGGGAGGGAGAGGGCCCCGCATCCAAGGATGAGTCCTATCGTCGGTTCGGGCCAGGGGCCGTGTTTGGTGGGCCATAGGCTTTTAGCCAGGCCCCATATTCGTTTTCTCGTCGGGTGGTTGCATTGCATCAGTATGTGTTCCATGGATTCCGTATCTTCTCTACATGATTGGCGTCGGGCTCTATGCTCGAATGTGGGTATTTGGGTCCAAAAATCGCCGATTTTGAACGCGTTGTTTAACGTTTTGTATAGGAACATTTGGATTTTTTTGGATAGCTCCTTGTTTCTACAGCTTTGCCAGATTGTTGTATCGGTTTCTATTGTCGATGTTATTGTTTCTAGGGCGTATCTTGTAACATCTAGTAGGGCTAAGGTCGCCCTTTTGGTTTCTACGCGTTTTCCTCTCATGATTGCTATGTATGCTGTTTTTTGGCTGATTGTTCTCAGCTTCGCTCCTTGGAGGTCAAAATTCCTAGGCACGTAGGTGTCTACGTCGTCAGCAACTATTTTTTGTGCGCCCCTTTGGGCGAGTCGGTCTGCTTCCTCGTTTCCTGTGACCTTACTGTGTCCTTTAACCCACTGGAAAGTGGTTGGGGAGGGGCGTCGTCTCAGGTGGTATGCTATAGCCTTGAACAATTGGGCGTTGGAGATATCTATCCAGCCTTGGTCTTCCCAGTTTGCAAGGTGTGTAGTGATACCGGTGATGACATATTTGGAGTCAGTCATAATTTTTATTGGGGTCAGTAGGGGTGCGTTCTGTAACGCCACCAGAACTGCTATAAGTTCTCCTATTTGGTTCGAATGGTCAGTGCCGGGCATGCTTATCTCGCGGTTCATTGGGTGATCGTCTTCCACCCAGATTCCGCCACCGCATTTTGCGTTATATTTTCCATTATTGATGCAGGACCCATCAGTGAAGATGGTGAGCACTTCATTAGTCGTTTGTCTGTTGGCGGCTGGGATGCGCAGTCTGTATGCTGGTATTTGGAGGGACCTGGATGGAAGGGTGAAGATGCGGAAGCAGTCCGATAGGTTGTCTCTGGCTGTTATGGCTGGGTCAAAAAGGACCTCGCCTTGTGGTTGTTTTCTCGCCCGTGCATTTTTTTCCAGTCTCCTGTGCGTTAGTGTAAGGTTGTCTTTTCTAGGAGTCGTATTGGGGTTGAATTTGGGGAGGAGGTTATCCAGTATGTCTTTTGCGGTTTGTGCGCATTTGTGTGGGTTTTGACATCCTGCTAGTCGGTCTTCAGTGCATTCGTCGCATGGGCAGGGGGCTCAAGGCTGGTGCGTTCCTTGGTTGGTTAATCTCATGGTTATATCTCTCAGATCTCGTACTGATTTTATCTTGTGTGTTTGTTGTAGGCATCTATTTTTTCCTTTATGGTATGTTTTGGGAGGTGCCCCTGGGTGCAACCAGGCGGGGAGTTGATCTTTGAGTGTTTCGGATAACTTTAGTGGTGTGAAGCTGACATGGTATTTTTTGGTTGTTTTTATCAGGTTCATGATTATTTTAGGGAGTCTGGTCGTTCTTATGCCCTGTGTTGGGGGATCCCATGAGGTCAAGAATGTTCGTGGGTCAGTGGTTCTTTTTATTTTTTCTGGTTTCAAGGTGCTGATGATTGAGTCTGTAACGAAGGCCCACGCTGGCCTTGAGGTGGACAGTTCCATGTACGATTTCACCCATATTATTTCAACAGCTTTGTTTCTCGCGCTGATGTTCAGGAGGTTTAGGCCTCCTTCTGATACTGGTCGTTCTAGCTGTCCGAGGCTTATTGGTGGGGATTTTCGTCCGTCCCACATGAAGTTACGTATTGACCAGGTGATAGCGTTTTCTATTGATTTGGGCACTCCTTGCGCCTTGGTAAGGAATTGGGTCATGCCCCCGACTATCATTTGGACTATAAGTCTTTTCCCGTCGAGGGAGGGGTGGCCCATGTCCCATCTTTTCAGGTTGCTGTCGATTTTTTTTAGGATTGGTTCCCAGGATGTCGCATGGTCGACCTCATTGCCTATCCAGGCCCCCAGTGACCTTATTGGGTTGCCGTCCGACGCTACCCTGACTTGCTCAGTCCAGGGCGTATCCATGGCGTCTAGTTTTCTGGTTAGTACTACATTCGCTTGGTGGGATTTGGTGCCTATGGGTAGTATCTCTGTTTTCTCCATATTGAATTTAGCACCTGATGCTGTGCACCATTTTTGCAGTATTTCTTCTAGGTCCGAGTACTTGTCTTCCTGCGAGAGGTATATCGTTGTGTCGTCAGCGTACATGTTTACGGTCAGTCGTTCTTTCAGGCCGGGGATGCTATATCCTTTTATCTTAGTTGAGTTTCGCAGCGCACATGCGAGTGGTTCGATCGCGAGATCAAACAGTAGGCATGACAGGGGGTCTCCTTGTCTGACGCCTCGTGTTACTTTAAAAGGGGAGCTTAGGAACCCATTGATGGCGACCTTTGTGTATGCTGATTGATATAGGCTTTTAACGGTGTTGATAAACATGGGCGGGAGTCGGAATGTTTCAAGGGTCTCGAGGAGGTAGGTGTGGTGGATTCGGTCGTAAGCTTTCTCTTGGTCGAGGGCGACAATTGCGCCGTTTTCTTCCATTAGGTCGGCGTAGGCCGTCATTACCTGTGTTAGTCGAATCGGGTCGAAAATGGATCTTCCATGGATGAAGCCACTTTGGTTAGGGTGGATTAGCTTGTGTATGGTTCCGGATAGTTGTATGGCAAGGGCTTTGGTGAGTATTTTGTAGTCTGTGTTCAGCAGCGTGATCGGCCAGTAGCTCTCAATTTTTGTGCGGTCTTTTTTCTTGTACAGTGGGCACATCCACCCTAGGGTGAAGTCAGAGTCTTCATGCACGCCGTTCATTTGTACATCATTCATGACAGTGGTCAACATTTTTATTACATCAAAGCTGGGTGTTTCTTTTTCGATTGCATCCTTGTGTTTCTCATTTAGGTGCTTCCACAGTTCGTACGGTATGCCGTTGATTCCAGCTGCGCTGCCGGACTTTGATGATAGCAGTGCATTTAGGATGTGCTCTTCCAGTAGGAGTTCGTCCATTTCGTTTGTTGGCGCATTGAATTTCTGACCGTCTGGTATTTCTTGTAGGGCTATATCTCTCGCGTTTTGGTAGGTGTGCTCGGTGCATGTTAGGTGGTCACTCAGTTGTATATCCTCATGGTAGTTTCTTGCTATCTCTGCCATTTCTTCTGACTTTGTCGTGTATCGTTCGGTCCCTGGTATGTGTAATCTGTGAATCACGTCTCTTGGTGCTTTCTGACTGTTTATTTTGGACCAGTATTTACTTATGGTTTCTCCATGTGTCGCCCATTTCACCTGGGCTCTCAGGTGTGATTCCTTGTATCGTTTCTTGTGTAGGTGCTCTATCTCTTTTTCCAGTATGATTCTATTCATCCTGGTGTCTTCCAGGGTGTTTTCCTTGCAGTTTGTTATCTTTCGCAGGTCTTTGGTGAGCGTTTTTATGCGCTGGTTAATCTTAGCTAGGTGCGTCTTAGTGGTGTCTTTGGCTAGGATAGTCAAGTTGTCCTTGAAGGTTTTCCATATTGTCTGTGGGTTGGTTGTTTCGGTGCGTGGTCCCATCTCTTCTATCCTCCGTTGGGCTTCAATGTCTGACTCAATTATTTTTTTATTTAGGTCAATGTCTGATATGATGCCTACCGGCCATGACCATCGTCCTTTCCCAATGTGTGGGAGGTTAGGTGGTGCGAGTCGTACTGAAACCATGTGGTGGTCTGTGGGGATTTGGCTGATGCCTGAGTTCCACTCTACAAGACTCTCGGTGTGTCGTTCTGAGGCGTATATTCTGTCGATACGTGATAGGGTGTGGTGGTTGCTGCTGAAGGTGAACATTCGTTGGTGAGGGTGTTCGTCTCGCCATGTATCTTGTACTCTCAGTGTTGATCTTAGGTCTCTTAGGGCGCTGATAGCGTTTTCATTGTCGAGCTGTGCTGGAGCGCGGTCAATGGGGTTTTCGGTTAGGTTGAAGTCGCCCATCATGAAGTCTAGGGGCCCTAGGTTTGCCCCTAGCCATTCTGTTTCTATTTTTTTCCAGAAGTCGTGGTGTTCGTTTGCGTTGTTAGGTGCGTAGATGTTTAATATGTTGATGGTCTCATTGTTATGCCACTTTGTTGACAGGACCGCCGCTCGTCCTGGGATCAGTATTTTTATCAGGGTATCAGCTGTGTTGGTGATCTCCTTGTTTAACACAAAGGCAATCCCAGCTGAGCTGCCGGGTCTCATTGGGTCACTGGTGCTCAATATTTTGAGTCGTCTCAAGAATATGTTTTCTACCTGGTTTAGATGGTCAGTGGTCAGGTGTGTTTCTTGCAGGCATAGTATGCCGATTTTTTGATCTCTCATTGTTTGGTTGACGACTGTCCATTTAGATATTTGGCTCTGTTCTAGGTTGGATGAGGTTCGTCCTTTCATATTTAGCGTGGCTAATTTTATGTTTGCTCTGGTTTTCTTTTCTTTTTCAGTGTCGGACTGCATTTGTGTCGTTGGACGGGTCTGGTTGGATTGGTGTGTTGGTGTACCTGGGTGAGGTTGTATGGTTGATGGGGGGAGGCGCTGGACGTATGTTTTGTCCGTTCCTGGTGTGGAACTGGTTTAGAGTGTGCCCCTGAGGGGCGTTTCCACATCCGAAATCCCGTGACTGGTCATCGGAGGGCCACCCAGTGGTCTGAGGTGGTCCTCCTCCACATTCAAGGGGGCGAGTACCTGGACCGACAAAAAAACCGTGTTGTGTGGGGTTGTGTTGTGTGTTGTGAGTGATCGTAATACTAAGTCTACTGTACGATCATTTGTAGCTTAGAACTGACGTATCCTGGCCAATTAACAGTGGACTTATGTTAGCATTTTCGAGTGATATCAGTGCCCAGGACATTCATATCATCTACTAGTGAGAACTTGAGCCTCTCGGCACGGCTCGTCCTAACCTAAATAGGTTTCCGTGGTCTGGTATGCACCATGCTTGTTGAGACGACCTTTGCTTTCCTGTCTCGCAGAAACGATCAGTATATTTGGGCATTAGGTCTTATTATGACGATTCGTGTCTCGATCGAATCTATCTGGCTTTCCAACAGCTCATGTGCCCTCAGGTTCTGGGCCTAAGTTAGAGCCAGTGTGGCGTGTTGCGTGGTGTGGTGCTGTCTGGCGTGGCATGTGGGGCAAGATACGTGGGGATTGGTACATAGGGACAGTGGTGTGTGGCTAGACATAGTAGGTATGGTACAGGGAGAGACTGAGTGGGGCTGTGCAGCGGTACAACGTAAAGATTATCTGGCGCGTGGTTTCTAGGTAGGATGGTCAAGGGTCAAGGGGGTGGGCTACTAGAGGCCGCGTCCGGGCCTTCCGCCCCTAGCTCTTCCGTGTTGGCGGGATGGGTTAGCCGTGTTCCTGTTCCCTGATTTGGGGCCGGTCCAGAGCGGGACGAGTGGGAAGGGGCAGAGGCCTCGTGGGTGGGCTAGGGAGTGGCAGATTTGGCAGGGGAAGAGGGCTGCTGCAGCCCCACAGCCATCAAGGTTTGTGGGGTATTTGAGGGCGTGCAGGAAGCTCCTTAGCTTCGTCCAGGTTTGGGCGTCGTTGGTTGGGCTAGTGGCAAGTATGTTGAAGCGTGGGACTGAAAGTCCTCTCGTCGCTTTGAAGTTGAGCAGTTCGACGCGGGCGGACTCGATCAAGTCCCGCGTGGCTTTGTACACTAGTTCATCGTCTGGAAATCCGCCTTTTGAGAGAACGTCGTCGATGCATTGTCTGTTTTCATCGCGAGACCAAACATCAATAACGGTTTGGAGGACGGTGTCGCTGTCAAGGGTTGTGAAGCCGGATAGGCAGAATAAGAGTTCTGGGGGGTGGATGCAGTTGAAGGGGATGGCTTCGAACGTTATGTCTGCAGCAGACCAGATGCGTTGTTGCAGGATTAGGTTCATGGTTTCCACAGATATCTTATGGACGAGGAATCCGGTTGGGAATTCATGCTGTCCCTTCCCAGTTTGGGGTTGGGGAGGGGAGACACGTACAGGGGGGGCATCCTGGTGGACGAATTCTGCTATGGTAGCTATGCTGGCCCGGATTTGTTCTGCAGTGATGGCAGCCCGTTCGGCAACTTCTTTTCCTGGCAGGTCAAACACGCGGACCATGAACTTGGGGTGTTCAACCTGAAACCAGGCGAGTAGGACCCTGTTGTCCAGGTGGTCGAAGATCTGAGCTGAATGTGACATGTGTACTGTCGGGAATCCCTCAGTTGGGGTGGGGGTGAACTGCGGGAGGATGGTATGATGGTTTGGTCCGTTCTGGCTCAGTATTGACCTGTTCGTTTCCGCCAGGGCAAGGTGTGCTAGGATAGCTTGTTCTTCGGTGGTCTGTACATGTTCCGGGGTGGGGCTCTGAGGCGCGCTCATGGTTTGGTCTCCTGTGGAGTTGTTGGGGGCATGGATGGAGTTGGCTAGGTCGCTGTTTGCGATGCCGTTGTCCACGGCTCTCGACGTTACTGTATTGAATTCCCGGAACACGAGGGGCTCGGGCTGTAACGATGTTCCATCATCCATGCGGGGTGCAGGGGTGGGCGTGGCTGGGGGGGACTTTGGGGTTCGTGGGAGGGTGGGTCAGGTATCGAGTCTAGCAACTCCATGGCGTGTTCCAAGTCTTCTACTCGGAGGATGCTTGGTGGGAAGTACTGTGGTCCACCCCGTGGGGTCAGGGATGTAGGACGAGGCGTGCTGGGGTAGGGGCGGGCAGCCTGGGACATGGTTTTGAGGGATGTGGGTTTTTTGTCTTTCATCTTGGGAGGACAGGGTGTGTGGGTGGGCTGGAGGGGTATTTATGTGTTGAGTTCAGATACAGATTCGGGCGCAGCGTTTGCTGGGTTTCGGTTGTGGGGGTCGGGGGTGTCATCGTGGCCGGGTTCATCTCGGTTACATTTCGTATCTAGGCCTATTGGGATTGTCAGGTAGGTGTGAGTTCTCAAGGGAGGTTATTAGCGTCGGTAGGGGATGATGTGAGGTTGTTTTCTCTGTCGTTTTTACGTGTGGGCGTAGTCTTACTTCTGTTTTGTCTCATCTCATTGATAGGTGGGGGTTGATGTCATAGTTTCGGTGGTATAGTGGTGTACAAGGGCAGTGCGTTCATTTTGCGGGTTGTAGGGTCTGGGGGGCTCATTCGTTTTTCATACGTTTAGTTGGGTCATGGTGGTGTAACAGCGTGTCGGATTTGCGTTCAGAGTTTGTGGGGTTCCTGGTATTGTTGTTTCTATGGCCAGTTGTTTTTACTGTGAGCTATGGTAAGCTCGACCTTGCCAGCAGTTTTTCATGCGTGGGAAATTCTGTCCATGGTGGTGGTACAGGATCAAGGGCCTCCCGCCCCCGTTTCCACTTTCCATAATCTTACAATCCTATGAGTCTCCCCGCTCGTAACAGTTTTGCTGTTTGGAGACAACGTTATGATAGTGAACATCAATCCCAGAGTCCCCTTATTTCGCCAGTCGTCTCAAAGCTCTTCAGGTCCTATAGTGAGTCACCCGTCTCACGAACCTGTGATGATGTGTCGTCTCCCAGGCAAGTGCACAATACACTGTACCTTGCCGGTGTGACCTCTCATCGTCTGACGGGCTTGACCGCTGGCGTCTGTTGCTTCTTACTTGTCGGGGAAGACATGGTTGGCGTTTGGCGTGTCATAACCGATGGTCTTTGTTTTCAAGACTAGTCAGCTGGGTTGTGGAATTAGAGCGAGTCATCTGGCAAGGACAAAGGGTTCTGGTGAGTCTACTCGGGGCTTATCTTTCTTCACAACGCATTGCTAACCCGCTTACAGGAATTAAATCCTTATCCGCAGGACGGCTCCAGGACTGTATGCAGAAGTTGCTACACCGCTATTCAAGAATACGCAAGAGATCTTTGCGAGAGCCCAAAGTCGCTGCCAAGTAAAGGATCAGCTGTGCACACGAAGCGTTCACCGCGGGCGAGACTGGCTGCCAACCTGGCACGAGTGCGATTGGTTGTTGACCCAGAGTGAAGAAGAGTGGCTGTTGGGTTAGTGGGCGCAGATTGGCTGCAAACAGGCATGGTGAGTCAACCCCACGGCACCCCCCAGGTGACAATCAGAGACTTCTCGAGCATACCGGAAGTACTTTGCAATCTGTGTAATTATCCCGGAATTACTGCCAGTAATCAGTCCTTCGCCTGCGCCAGCATGGTGGGTATCATGCTAATAAATTATTAAGTTGCAGCGGTCGTGCCATCGTTTATGCTCGCATGTTCGACATAATGAAGAAAGAAGGACTACTATGGGAGACTAAGACTAAACATGTAATATTATAATCTCTAAACTGGATCTATAGGTCCTCGACGTTAAGAGCAGGCTTCTCCTTTTGCACGCGAAATAGTTTCTTCTCCGCAACGATTCCCTTATGAGCCATTTGAAAGTTGGTTTGCATATCCTTCGTGCTGCCAGGAACTTTCTGAATGAATTCTCCGACCTCCAACACTGCATGTTTGAGGGCGTCAATGTCCCGGGTACGATGATCTGGTGAGGAAGGCTCTAGCTTATTGCGTGATCACAAGCCCTTTTTGAGGAGCGATCTGTAAACAAGACTGCACGTTAATCATTGTATGAGGCTGGGTAAGTTTGACTGACGTGATCTCGCTTCTCTGCCTACCCAACTCCTCAAGCTTTTCATGGGACACCTCACTGAGGTCTTTCATCTTCGCTTTGGCAGCGTGGGTTAGGGTAATGCCTTGTTCCAGGCACGCCAGAAGGTGTGGCAATGGTCCAAGGAAAAGAAGTCGGTAATAACTTGGACGCCATTCAGAGGACCGCGTCTCCTTGAGGCATGTCCTGAATATTGCATCAATTTCTACATCGACCGCGGAGCCTGAGCGATGCGAAACGTGACAGCGATATGCATACTGAATCCTGTGAGCTGCTCGGTCTTGCTCTTTCGATGGCCTGTTGGAGTGAAGGGACTCATCTAGCACAGGGTCAAGGGATGTAAAGGATGTGACCGCCTCGTCCATGTCTTCAACACTATCAGTGGACTCGGAATCAACAGCCACTGAAACTTCTTCCTCCTCCACTTCCTCTTCATTGGCTTCCTGGGGTATATGCTCCAAGTTCTCCTTCTCGACACAACAAATCTCTACATCATCTCTGGGATGCTGCATGCGAGGCACGAAGGTAGCTGCCTCCACCCTCAACGCTGACTGTGCAGTGACCATGTGCGAGGAAAGAAGATAGGAAATTTCACCTCAGGCAGCACTTCTCGGTGCCTATAAAGGGTCTAAGAGACCCAGTTTCTATGTTATGAGAAACTAGTCTCTGAGACCCACCCTCCCGCCATCTAATAATAGTACATGCTCTCGCATTCCCTCGCGGGCCTCCAGCACCTCCTTACGAGCCTCCAGGGCCCCTCCCATGTAGGCCTTCAGGATACCTCCAATGCTATCAATCTTTCCAGACGCTATTCTGGCGCCACACCCACTGCTATCTACTGTATTACCACTACCGCCCATCATGCCTCCACTACCGCCTGAGTCATACCTCCACATGCACTCAGGCTGTCACGCATTGTGCCCCCACTCAGCCTGAGGCTGCTGCTCATTCGATTTGTCTGTGTATACTTCCTCCACTAACACAAGCGCTATTCAACATATTGCTTTTCTTGGGTCAGCTCAGTAGTTTTGCAGGTGTGTTTCAATAGCTTTGCTCTAAGTACGTGATCATATCATTCCCAAGTTCTTAGTACACTAATTGGTATCCTGTTCATCATCTCGCACCACTCTTGTACGTCCATTGCCTCCTCAGATGCATCCTCTGTTGCACCCTCTGTCACATTCTCTCGCACCCTCTCGCACCTCTGTTGCACCTCTGTTGCACCCTCCGTCGAACCCTCTTCTCACACCCTCTCGCACCTCTGTTGCACCCTCTCGCACCCTCTCGCACCCTCTCGCACCCTTGTTCCATCCTCCTAATTTGGCTATCCATAATGCCTCTCTGAAATCTCAGAATTTATTTTCGGAACTTCAACGCTACTCATCATCGTTTGTTGTGTTCACCGTGCAAATGAACTACTAATCCGATTCCTTCAGTCGCAGGAGGAGGCGCTACACATCTTCGCCCAAAAATGTTCCCCAAATTCTCTCCCTTAATCACACCCTTGTACAAATGTAGCACATTTATTCATACGTTCCGTCGCTTTAGTTGTCTTTTGAACTTTCACTAATCTAGGTTATAGGCGTGCCGATTTACAGCGATAATTTCAGGGCTGGAACCCTAGAGCCATCGACACGTATCCATGCCCGCTGCTCGCCACCGATACCCTACTCGTGCTGTAATCTCCCTCTTCTGCCTCAAGACGTCCTGCCCTATGTATCCCTTACGTCGCTGTCTGGTCTAGTTTTCATTCCACTTTTCATTGCTATCGTAGCTCCTTGGTTTCTGCATAAAGTCCGTCATCGCACCTGCTGAGTTTTCAGTCAGCGTCATGAAGTTCAATAAAATTTCTTTTTTCCCCCTTTATTTCATCATTGTCTCTGTTTCTTAGTTATAATTTGGCAAATCTCGATTCAACTTTATGCTGTACCGTATATACGTATGTGTCACTCGGACCAGTCTTATTTACCCTCAAGGAATGGATAATGTACTTAATTCATGCGACATACACCATCCTTTAGTTCTCTGACTGCTTCTCAACGCTTAATTCACTTCTCCGTCTTCAGTAGGTGCGCACGAACAACTGTTGAATGACATGTTTGAGGGTGAGAGTGTACAAGATGGACAGGGTCCAGCGCTTTGCACAAATGCGTCGAGTTTGCAACTCAGTGGACTCGGGGGTGCCCAATCATTGTAAAGGCCACCCTGTGGCTCAACGGAAGTCATGGAACACGACAACCCAAAACTACTATGTAGAACTGCGGCATAAAGATGATGTGTGGCAGGCCGGCAGCAAAAACTGGATAGGTGGCTCATTGATGTAGCCCTCCGGCGAAAAGGGGATGGAGTCCGGCGGAGGCGCGAGGTGGCCCGTGGCGAATGAGGTGGTATGGAAAACCCTTCGTTCATGCACTGGTTGTCTATCTTAGAGTCCTCAAGCAGCAGATCCAGAGCGATCTGAATGCGACAATTGAGGTTCTTAGAGTGTAGGGAGGAGAGTCTGCAGGTAACAAAGGAGTCATCTTGTAATAGTTGTCCACTGAATCGCGCCAGGTCGCGTAGTAACGATAGAAAATGACAATAAGGAACAAGGAACGTGTCCTGTATTACAGTGATATTGCGTTGCGGCGTCGTTCTAGTAGCCAATGCGGTAGTTGGGACTGCGTCACTAATATTCACCGCTTGTGCTCTGAATAGGTATGCAACACAGCCAGCCCACAAAACGAACACGCCACATCCATACAACAACAGGGATATAAGGATGCGAGGGTGTTCCCGTTGTCCCTGCGGCACTAGTGACTGCAGGAAATGTTGAAGCAGCGGTAGTGGAACGTGATTGCTGTGATGATGATGATGTGCTCTGTGCTGCTCCGCTGGGTTGTTGCGTGGTATGAGTATTGGGGGCTCGAGATGAGCTGGTAGCTGGCTTCTTCTTTCTGGCGTGATAGTATCTCTGCGCAAAGAGGACTCAGCGATAAAGAAGAACCGTGAAAGAGCAAAAAACGCACAGGCTTTCCCGCTGTGCACAGGACCTCAACCTTTCGCAACTCAATGTCCGATCTATCTCGTCTGCGGAGTATGCCGAATGCTAGGTTTCGAGTCCAGCTAAAAGGTCGGGATCGGGATTGGGTGTCGCGTTCAGTTGCTCCATGTGACTTGGAGTGGTGCCAAAAGGAGGAAAAGGACTGAGGGTGCGTTGACGTGGTGCTGGAGTGGGACGGTTATGCGGCCCATGGGATTGGGATAGACGAGTACGCAACTGACGATATATTTGTCAAAGTATCGAATAGTAGATAGAGATCACATACATTAGCCTCTCGCAGTGCATCGCCAAAAAACCCTGGAGGTATTTGAGGAGTACATTTCATCTTTGGCGCTGGTCGTGGTGTAGCATCAACCTGGGGGAGCAGATCCGTTGTCAGTGTCATCGAAAATGAAATGTATATGAACTTACGATATCTGATGGAAGGCCAGCTTCGTTGACGATAGCGCAAACGTCCCATATGTATAGGTGGTCATCATTGCAGCCAGTGACGAGGAACTTTCTGTTTGCAGAAAAGGTCGCGGAGTTCACGTAGTCTTCATGATGAAGTGGTGTTCCGATGGGTTGATTGGTTTCGAGGTTCCATAGTTGCGCTGTCTTTTGAAAGTATTCTGTGGTTGCGAGGATGCGCTCATTGGGAGATAATGTGAGCTCGAGATGGCATGGATCTTTTGATGGGAACAAACCTGCCTCTTCATCCCAGCAGCTCATAACGAAATCTATCATCTCATCACGGTCCAACGCATCCCCATGTCCCATGACCAAAAGAACAGGCCCCAGCCACTACGGGTGGTGGTAGCAGGATGACAGTGTCAGATAACAGCAGGAGGCCGAGAGTGCAGGATTTGTCGTTAGCAGTGGCCTAGCTGAGAGTGACATCGCAGGCAGTGAATGTAGACAAAAGTACAAGCAGTCACCGTGAAAATCCGAGTTTAAGCAGGCTAAGATTTGTCAAAGAAACATAATCTAGTAGCTTCAAAGATTTGGAGGCAGATGTTGAAGAGGTATGCCATTGAAGGCCGTTAGCGACTCAGTGGAGAGGTGGTTGTGGTAGGTTGTTGAGTTCAATACTGTGATGAATTTTGGTCTAGTACTAGTAGTACCGTACACTGACTATACATAGTTATTGGTGGCGGCTGTTGCAACAACCCACACTTTGCACGAAGAGTGTCATGTTCCAAGTCATTTCCCTCACAAGAGTACTTCATGGTGTCTTGCAATATGCAAGGACTACTGTGCTGCTATTTTGGACCATTCAAAGTGCTGCTATCATCAATATTCAGTCCACAATCAGGGTTTTATGTTTCAGTACGAGTTTTATTCGTCATCTGATTGGCTGCTGAAGCGCTGAACCTCCAAGTCTCATCCACCCTCGCAAGCTTCAATCATTGTCAATGTTCACGATAGTGTTCAAGTTAGCAAAAATTGGCAGAACTCCAGAGTCCAGACTCGCAGAGATGTAACTTAGATTTGATAACATGGTTTGAATTCAATAAAACATGGAAATCAACGTCCCTATAGTAAGATGGTACATGCTTGGCGCTGTTGCAGACATTGAGCAAGCAAACGACTTTCATACTCCGCTTGGGGGCGTTGATGGACCCAGACTTCGTCTTAAGTTTCAGGAAAGAAGGATACCTGTTTCATAGCTGCCGAGTCCCTGACTGTCGCCTCCGTCAGTTTTCACGTCTGCCTACTGTCGTTGAGATTAACAGTCGCAAAAGCAAGGGTCATCGCATTCTTCAGTCGGTCGGACAGCATCGCACATCGCTTTTCTAGACGATCAATTTTGCTGAGTAGATTCTCAGACTCCGTCTTCATAAGTAGAGTCCATGGCCGGATGTGGGTCTTCGCGATAAATTGTACTGATACCTTAAAGTTATGAAGGAGTGATTGATAGTGCAAGAGATACACAAAATCGCAAGGAAGAGGAACATCGGGTCTTTTGACTTGGCAAATATTTTTTGCCAGTATACACTGCCCCCTACAAGCTGCATGAGCGAGTGAAGGCGCTTCGCGGATGTCCGGCACCATGTGGACTCAGGATGGTAGGAGATGATGGTGCTTGTCTTTACGTCCTGAACCATGTGAATTACGAGGAGGTCAATGAAGAGCATGCTGCCATCTAGGACGGACGTTGGAATGTGAATATAAGGATCTTGATACACATACCACTCATTGGGAAAGGAGCCTGGGTGTTGATCTGAGTATCTGTTGAAGGTGAACAGGATGACTATGACAGATGATGGGTCGCTTACTTGGGGGTTGCGATAGCGATGTTAGAGAGGTGGGTGATGATCGAGAATTTTTGCGCAGCGTTCGTACAAATGGCAGGGTAATAGTAATGTCTATCGCACAATATCAGCATGGCATCCAAAATGGAAGATTTGAACTTACGATCTCCTTCGTTATGGACAAGTGCTTCCTGATATTGTGAGGGTATGCAATTTATGGAGGACGTGAAAAAGAATGGTTCGATGTTGTATCTAAGTATGAGGAACCTCAGAGTCAGCAAGTAGATAAGCAAAAATGCCACTACATACGCGATATCTGGGGAGAGCATCAGTCAGCAAAAGTAAGGAAAATAAGAGGACAGAACTTATGGCGGCGCAGGCACCGCAGGTGGCATAGCTGTATTACTATCCTTGAGGTTTTGAAGAGCAATGTCCTCTGAGTCGTCATGGCGCACTCTAAAGGTGGTGGCCAATGTTTTGACTGCCATGATGTCTTGACGGTTGGAATCAGTTCATGCAGGAATTGTCGTGAGGAAGGGGAACGGTGAACATATATATTTATGGTAAACAGGCGCCCAGCGCTGTGTCCGTCCTCGACGTGGTGATTCATCTGCATCGTGTAAAGGATTTTCATTGAATCAGAGCGTCGCGTCATGTCACATGACTTTGTGTACAAGCTGCCGCAGAACCAAACAAACCATTGTAGCGGTCAGTGCATATCAATTTTCCATTGTCGTTTACTCCTCCGTCTTCCAACAGACGCCCTCTCAAGCCTCGACCTTACCTTGTCAAGTTCGATGCAGCCTATATACTCTGTGCACCCGCGATGCTCTGACCCGGGTGGGTATGGGTAGGCCTCTGAAAGTTTCAGTACCCGCGGGTCGGGTGTGGGTATGACCCGGGTCGACCCATGTCATACCCTAGGGCCCGTGTCCAAAATGATTTCTTAGACTTCGAACCATTCGTTGATAGCGCAACTACTGGCCACACAAGTACCTTAGATTTTCTTTCTTTCTTTCTTAGACGCACCATCATGGCGTCCTCAACCAATATTAAGGTTGTTTGTCGGTGCGTCTTAACCTAGCTTCGGGATTCAATCAAGATGCACGAAGTGTCTCTCTAATCACTTACTGACGCGACTGAATAGGTTTCGGCCCCAAAATGCTCTCGAACTCAGAGAGGGCGGCGATATCGTAGTCGCCTTCGATGAGAATCTTCAGACCGTGCAGATGAAGAACTCGCAGGCCGTTTCTGGGCCAGAGAAGGATGGATTCACATTCGACAGAGTTTTTCTGATGGGCACAAAACAACACAAAGTATTCGATTACGGTGTTAAAGAGTGAGTGGCTCCGAGAACCACACATCTTTGTCGTGTACCTCATCTGATTACCTCCTAATGCAGCATTGTGAAAGGTGAGAGAAGGCACCCCGTCTTGTGATATCGAGTGCCTTTCATGCACTGTTAAATCATTTCGCGGAAGGATAGTATTGCTAATACGGTAATAAGATGTCCTGGATGGCTACAATGGCACGGTCTTTGCGTATGGCCAGACTGGTAGTGGAAAGACATTCAGCATGATGGCGCGTTCAATTCATATCATTTTAAATTTCCCTCCTGAATTTTGTTACCTAGGGCGCGGACATTGACTCTTCGGATCTGAAGGGAATTATACCCCGCATCACGGAACAGATTTTTAAATCAATCGTGGAATCGAACTCTCACCTTGAATATGTCGTCAAGGTATCCTACTTGGAAATCTACCTTGAACGCATACACGACCTCCTTGCCCGTATGTAGGGCATCCTGCACCAGGCATGGTTAGCTAGCCCTCTGTGGCCTCTCTCGTCTATTCATTGGATCGGTATGCTGCACAGTATGAGGTGCCCTCGCTGGTTTATGTGAGTTCATTCTGTCTCTGCACCAAGCACTCGCTTAATCATCGAGATTCATCCCTCAACATCAGCTCTATTTAAGCCAGGAATGACTTGTATCATATCGTTTCTTTCTCCGTCTCCGGGTGCAAGCTCTTCTGAGGGCTCGAACATAATTGTAGACTCAAACACTCAGCCTGAAGACCCACCAGAGGAATACTGCTAGTACAAGGGTATGTTTTTGTTGGTATTTGCAGACTGGTTCTCTCATACATCCAGCGCACTCTCTCATACATCCAGCGCACTCTCATACATCCAGCGTACCCTCTCACATCCTCCCTCATACCCTCTCGTATCCTCTCTCATACCCTCTCGCATCCTCCCTTCATACCCTCTCATATATCCAACGCATCCTCTCGCATCCTCCTTCGTACCCTCTCATATATCCACTGCACCCTCCTGCACCCTCTCTCGCACCCTCTCTCGCACCCTCTCGCACCTACAATGCACCCTTCAGGGATGTATTAAATCCATAGTCACGACTCACAACCCTCCTCATGCCTTTCCTCATTGTCTAGTTGCTCTGTCATGACCACCCTACCCCACTTACATTGGTAGCTACTATGCTTTGTAATTTGTTATGTCAATACTAGTATAGCAGTTGCATAGCCTGCTTGTCTCATCCAGGACATCTCAGAACACTAATGTCTTCGCGCATCGGAAAACCTGTGGAGATCTCACCAAACATAAGTAACTGATTGAATAAAATAACATAACCAGTAACGGAAATGGTGGGAGGCTACGAGAGGGTCACTATACTAACAATATTAATGACGGGAGAAGCTTGGTATAATGTGCTAGGGCTCTCCAGGCTCTCAATGAGGCCACTAAGACTGGCAGGGCTACCCTCTTGATGATAACAGACGAGTCCGTGAGGTGGTTCGCAAGGGTACCGTTGTGCCTCTTGAGGCGAGGCAAGGGATACTGACGAGGTGCGCAAACGGATGCAGGGCGGGAGGGTTGCTCCTCGTGGAGGTGTGTGAGAGGGTTGCATAAACCTGTTAGGGAATTTGGTGAGAACCTCCCTGGGGAGGGTGGTCTCAGAGACCAGTTGCGCTCTACAAGGAAACCGGGTCTAACAGACCGTGAGAAGCTCTAAAAAGTGCTGCCAAGGGTGGGAAATTTCACTGGCCTTTTCATAAAACAGTTGTCGCACTTTCGAGATTTGAGTAGACTGCCTCGTCTTGTGAACAAGTTTGACAAGATCACTTGGAGCATTGCTGGTATCGAAATCGAGAACAGCTCACAGGTAGCCATCCAAGCGAGGCATTCTTCTGTCGCACAAAAGCGCCATATACTCAACAACGTCGTCCACGAGTTTTCCATAGTATGCAGGGTACTGAGGTCTTTTGGTTCTGTGCAGATGAAGCACGATCGAATTGACTTTGCGCTTGACCATGGGGTATCGTGTGTTGTGAGCGACTGTTACAATAAATTAAAAGTTGTTGAATGGCGACGAGCTGGAGCAGACACACCAAGGCAAAGAGCCCTGCAACTGTTGATGTGTAGGGATAAGTGACTTGTCTCGTATATAGGTAGTCAACTAGACTTACAGCCGGAAGATGAAAATATTGCGAAGCAACGGTGTAACATTGGTAACATGTGCAAGCCACATAAAATCTGCTGATTCGTGAGCATTAAACACGGTCTGCAGTGTGCAAAAGTTCTACCCGTGGCACCAACCACACGCAACTTCTTTATAAGATTCCCTATTGCATCCAAAAGTGAGCCTATTAACTGCGGTTCGACGTCCTTTTTCACAGAAAACTTGTAGGGGGAGATCAACCAGTTAGATGGAAGAACAACACCGTGCAGTGGAAGTTCGTCGAGGGTGGGATCCATTCTGTGATTGATAATGAAAGAGGAAAGGATATCCTCAATGCAGTCACATAAAACAGATAGGTTGACGCGTAAACGGTTATTGAGGACATACCTAGAGAATTTTTAGCATTAGCATGTGAACACAAGGTGTAAACTCACTGTAGAAACAGAATTCCCGATGATATACTGTTCGGAGTACCTCCTCGGTAAGAATTGAGCATGTCCATCACCAGGTAGCGATTATCTGTTTTGCGGAGAAGCTCGACAGATTTATTTTGGGTGAGACACTTTGCCTGAGTGATGTAGGCGAGAGCACCATCTCTGTCAAAAGTGAAACCCAAACTGGTGATTCTCATCAAGGTCGTCAGAAATTGAGGGCTCGTGAATGGGTTCAAACGGTAGAAAGATTCACGAATCCAGCTCCTCACCACTCTCAAGCCAGCTAAACCATGTGGAATGAGGGTCAAATCGAGGTCTGCAAAGGAACCTTGAACGAACAAGGGCGGAGTCGGCGCCTCATGAAGGTGTTCGAGCCAGTTCCTCATACTAACAACAGTATTAGTGTATACTTCAGCCATCAACAACACTGGGCGCACCTTTTCCACCGCATCATATTAGGATGCGCAGAATACAAGAGTTGTAAGATGAGAATCAGCTGCATATGGATCGCAACGTGGGCGTTATATTGCGCATGGTTCAAATTCAACATTGTGACATGTTCCTGGGGGCATCCGTTTCTTCGACAGTTCCCATAGACAATGTGTGGCAAGCACTGCACAAAGATCGGAGTGCGGCAACACATTTCATCGAGTGCCAAAACCTTGTCCTGCAAGACAGTTCGAATGGACAAATAGATCAATTCTGTCGCATCTTTACGAGAGGCTGTATATCCAGACTGATGCACCGAAAAAAGACGGTTGTTCTGAGGAGTTCCTGTCATGTTATTGTACAGGAACGTTCCACTCGGTATGAGAAACTCGTCGTCCGACAGTGGCTCAATTGAAAACAGTCTTTGCACATCGCATTCGCGGCGCCCTAAGGGGTCATGCAAGGTCGAAGTTTGATAGAGTAGTCATGCATAGGTATGAAATGTTTCAAGAAAGCTTGCCATTTCATGGAATTGGAAAGGGCGAATGTCTGTCGGTCGAGTGAAAAAGTGATCCAGGCAATGGAGAGCGGCAGTGTAATGACCACATTGCTGGAAGGTAAGTGCGAGTTTCTTCAATGACTCGTGATCTTCTCACAAGATACTCTGAAACATCAAAACCTGCATATGAATCAGTTCAGTTAGTATGTTTCAGTAATGTGCAATATATACCAAATTACGAGTCATGGGCTTCAGTTTCTTCATCTGCAGCTGATCAGCGAGGGCGGCAGCTTGCCGCACGGAATCGTCAGCAACAGCGGCTTCGGGGGGTGATCCTGAATGAGCATTTGCACCACATGATTTCCAGAAGAGTGTCGGCCGCACGAGAAGTTGAATCAATATTTCTGTTGTCCTCGAGGAATGCTTGAACTGCTTCCATGTGGCAGTTCCCTGATAAGTGTATCTCCGCGACTTCATAGTACATTGAGCGAGACTCCAGAAGGGGAATACGAGTACAATCCAAGTCGTATTCCTCCAAAAACTTGAGTTCCTTGTCAACTGACGAGAATAGAGGTACAGGGGCTCTGCACGATCACTATTAAACCAAATCATAGTAAAATTGTGGTCACATACGGATCATCGCTTCTGCCGCAGTAATGAAGCCGACATACCATCTGCAAATCTGTCGCGGTCTTTTCAGGTATCATGGCATGGTGGTCAGTAAGGACATGGAGCGTCCTGTCAAAAGATCCAGTCTTGCGGTATTTCTTTGCAGCTAGCTCAAACTCTTTGCCCTCAAGATAGGTATCAGCAGCTTTGAGGTCTTGTCCTCCTCGGACGTAGCAGTCCGCCAAGGTGCGGTAATATTGATGCCTCTCATTGCCTGTCGCAGCTGCGCCACAGTCAGCAAAGGCATCTTCTGCTGCAGTAAAAGCCTTTTGTTGAACGTTAGGCAAGGCCACTCCGACACTGGAACGTGCTGCCTCCCATAGTAGATAAGCTTCACAAACCTTCACTTCGTGGTGAAGGCCAGCGCATTTGAAGCAATGGATAGCCTGCAAGTAGCACTTGTGCAAGAACATTGAGCGCCCAGAGGATGCCCATTCATCCGGAGTAGAGGAGACAGCTAGAGGAGAAACATTGGTGCCGTGGGCACAGGTGCAGATCAGATTTTGAGACTCCCAGAAAATCTGAGGATAGAGGATTATTGAATTACGCAGCGCACGAGATGCAGGTAGTCTAAATGTACATGCATAGCATCAGACTCATCAGACGTGTCAAAGATCCATACGTTCCTCCTTGCTCGGGTAATCCCCACATAGAGGAATTTCAACTAATAAAAGTAAATAACGTCTATTCCTTGATTGATGAGTGGTGTACTTACCTCGATGCATATTCCAGTGTACCGACTCTTGCAACAATAAAAATTGGGCACATATCTTTGACTCTCCACCCCGTCGAGAACTACCTGCCAGCATGACCCATCTATGGCAGAATCTCCAAAAAAGTTGTACAAGAGAACCTGGCCGGAGTCAGTCAATCGTTAGATAGTCAAGGTCAGCTCTCTCACATCATCGAACTCAAGGCCTTTACTCTCATGGAGTATCCTGAGCAGATGTGTAAACATAAAAATCATGGAGTACAGATAATGTCACAACCCTTATAACGAATTAACGCAGGGGCAGAGACTAGGACTCAAACAAAGGTATCACAACAGAAAAGAGAATATGAGCAGGGACGTCTTAGGATTGCTAGCAGTGAGCTAATACAAAAGAGGTTTGAACTAAAGAACTACTGACTACAATGAGCTACCTATATACATATATTGAAGCGGAGACTGAATCTGAATCTGAACTAACTAGCTTGCATGCATATTACTGTAGACTCGACCTATGTTGCAATATATGCCATTGTGAGGCTACCCAGGATCGAGTCTCTACATCTCCTGGGGGCTTAAATTCTGAGTGTCCCCACTCAGTGCATCAAGTGGTGAACTCAAGCGAAGTTGCAATGGAGGTATGTGATGAGAGAGGAGTGTTATGCGAGTGTGGCTGAGGTGAATGTGATGAGGTGAGACTGGTGTAACTATGGCGCGCTAAGCGCGGGAAAGGCGCAGGCGTAAGGCGTCATAGGGGCGTGAAAGCGCGGTAGAACAGTGGAATGCGCGAAGTGACTCTGGTGTGTGCAAACACAGTGTAAGTGCGGGGATGCAATGATAGCAACTGGCTGAATGGTATGGAGATGATTGCAGTGAGGCGAGAGTGACATGTCTATGGCGCGTGAACAAGGCGACATAGGCGCGCGAAGCGCGGGAACATTCGCGCGTGCAAAGCGGAAGTGCGTGAATGCAGTATGCGAGCGATGGTGCAACTTCAAGAGGATGTAATTATGCGAACTAGTACTCATGACAATGGATGGTGGGTGATGCGAGTGTGGCGTGACTATGGCGCTTTAGGCGCGGGAACATTCGCGCTTGAGGCGCCTGAGATGCGCGGATGTGCGTAATAGCGCGTATGTCGCGATGTCGCGTAGGCGTCGTGTTATGCAGGGAATGTGAAGGGGTGAATGTCCAATGATCTCCAAGGTGTAGAAGGCGAAACTGCATGTTGAGGAAGCGGTCCAACCCATGTCCAAACCAAGTCCCACTAGGCGCGCTATGAAACAGGTGCTAAGGGAATGAATGACATGAGTATAACTATAAGCAAAAAAAAAAGCGAAAATGAAATGATAAACTTTGCGGATGTCCTGTCCGTCTTGTCTTCTTTGTGCAACTATTGACATCTATACCCTCCTATGCGCTAAGCGCGAAAAGCGCGCGCGCGAGGCGCTTGAGGCGCGGGAATAAGGCGATAAGCGCGCGAATGAGGCGCTATAGGGGAGTATTCTAAGGTAAAATGTGCATGGTGCCGTGGCATGCGTTAGAAGCGAAAATGATATCCTACTGAGTGAGGTGGGCATGAGTCTATGGTGGTTTTGTTGTTTTTGTTGTTTTCTTTTAAGTGGATCTATGAATATATATATGTCAGTGTTTTATTAGTGTTTTGGGCGATGTTATGATGAGAGAAATGAAAAATGAAAAGTGCGCTGGACGAAAACCAGGGTAAAACAAACTATATCCTATGAAAAGCGCGGTATATGGTGATTTTAGCGAAAATGATTGTTGAAGCGGTTGAAGCGGATGAGGCGCGAGGCAAAGGCGCGTGAGGCGACAGGGAATGATGTGATCTTCATCTTCAAGACTCTGCAACAACTTCTTCAACCGGGTATGAACTGATTCTTCTGCAAACTCGCGATAGCGGCGGACTAGTAACTGGAGGAATGAATTCTTGCACTTGGTGGCGCCTATTAGGCGCGTGCCAAGGCGAGGCGAGGCGACAGTGGTTGAAATGCACTACAGCATGATAGGCGATAGGCGACGCTGGCGCGTTAGCGCATTTAGGCGCGAAAATGATTATATCCTCTGTTTGCACGAGGATAGGATGATATTCTGAAAACGCGTTAGTGAGGGATGTATGTGAAGCGAAATTAGGCGCGAATAAGGCGCGAATGATGAGTATGGACAATGTATCAAGGCGACATAGGCACCTGATCATGAATGAATGGTGTTTGATATAAAATGAAAGGGTGATATGGACGCGATTGGCGAAAATGCGAAAATGCAAGTAAGGACAAGTGATGCAAGGTTAATGGTGATAAGAAGTGATGTAGGTGGATGTTTATGTGTCAGGCGCACGCCTAAGTCGCGCCTGAATGGCTGATTGAAATATAGTTCATGGTGAATGTGAGGAATGCGATTTAAAAGTGATAAGGTGGTAAAAATGCGATGGAGGGAGAACTTTGGTGTAATGATGGGCGCCTTAGGCGCGAGAATTAAGGCGTGAGGCGCGCGACTGTGGCGCCTAAGTGAGGGAATAATGGTAAGCTTAAATGAAGGCAAAGGCGAAGCATTAGCAACTGATGAAAAACTCAATGAGAGTGAAAAACGCGAAATAAGCGAAAAAGGCGAAATATGCGAGGGTTGAATATACAATGCCTCAAAGTGCGTGACATGCGCGACCTCAGGCGCCATAGGGTGCACAGGAGGCGCGTCAGGGTCGCCTGAGACATGATCTATATGGTGGGTGGGTGATGCGATGCATGGATGCTTGACTGGCGCGTGATAGTCACTGTAAGCGGAACACGCGATATGCGCGGTATCATCAGTAACAAGCGGATTTAGCAGAGACAAACTCTGGTCAATGTAAGGCGTGTTTTGGAGCTCTGACACTGCAGAATACTCCTGAATGGGCGCGCTAAAATGCGATGCATGTTTGAGGTCATTGCTGACCATGGGTGACGCAATTTTGTCTTGTAGCGCGTTTGGCGCGTTCACAATAGCGGTAGGCGCATGTACTTCTTGCTGGGGTAAAACAACTTCGTCCAACTGATCTTCTGGGTCGCTTTGGGGCTCTGTAGGCTCGCCTATTATAGGCGCCTCGATGTAGGCTGGTGCAATGGCGATTTCAACAATAGGCGATGTTGGAGTAAGCGGAAGGGGAAGTGTTTCGTGTGTTTCGTGTACTGGCGCTATAGCTGCAGCTACTGGTTGTTCTAAGGCGTGTTCTGGTTGCTGAGGCGCGCCTACAAGTGGCGCTTCATGGGGCGCTTCAAGGGGCGGAAGCGGAATAGCGGAAATCGCGCTAGGGCGCGTGTAGCAGTGCTGAGTACCGCATTCTGGGTACATAAACAAGGCGGAATTAGCAAACTCTTCATAGTTGTTACCTTCATAGTACTGAAATAGCTCTCGCTCGTTAGGCGCGGTATACTTCAAGGCATACTTGATGATGTCCTTATCTGACAGCCCAAGTGGTTGTGCGAGTCGTTCTACTGACTCCTGTTAAGACCGTACTCAAGTAGTATCTGATCCGAAGGGCTTCGGCCTCAGCTCGTGCGCTGTGCCCCTTTCCCGAGTCTTGCCCCTTATTTCAGAGAGCTAAAGTATCGCGTCTAGTGAGACGGATAAGTATCGTAACAGATAAGTCTTGTATTGCAACGGATAAGTATTGTAATGGATCTGTTAAGACTTCCGGATATCGAACGTATAGAGTAACGGCTAATCCGGATCGGATCCGGACTAGAAACTAACGGGTGAGGACTGTCCGAAGACAGAGGCGGATATGTAGACTATAGGAATCTATCCTAAGTCTCGGAGTAGACAAGAGTAGTGTACTCAAGTCCGGATGGATAACGGAGGGACTTAGAGCCCAGACGGAATGAGTGCAATCTAAGATGATATTCGAACTGATCTACTACAGCGCATATACAAAGGTTTATATACTACGGATAGCTAACGGAATGATCCATAAGCAAAGTCTAAGTGGAGCGTATTTGGTAAGTTGGATGGATCACGAATCATGAACCGGGAATGAAGTACAAGTAAAAGCGGATTCGTAAGTGTAGCGGATCAGTAAGCATAGCGGATCAGTAAGCATAGCGGATCAGTAAGCAAAGCGGAAGTAAAGGATAACCGGTATAACCGGTGTACAGGAATACCGAAAGGAGATGAACGATAGTTAGAGTTATATGAACAGGAAATGAAATAAGAATCAAAGCGGATCTGTGGACCGGACGATGGATATGTTCATCGGATCTGGATCGGATCTGAGATCCAGATCATCGGATCTGTAACCGGATATATGGTATATGACAGTATCCCCCCTTAGGGCCGATCCCTAGAGGCACAAGAATCAGCGATCCGGAACGGATGGTATGAGTGCGAGACAATTGGAGAAGCTGATGGGAGAAGTTGCTGAGTTCGGATTCTGACAGATATACGGATGCCAAAGCGTCGCAGGGTGTTCCTTCCTTCCCTACTTTTTCAACTACCACTAGCTTATCTCAACCATGACTGATAACGGATCCGGCTCTAAGAAGACCGCTAAGCAGACTCTGGCGGATATCCAGGCCGCGCTGGCTGCTGCTGAGGGCCGAGGTTCGGAAGGAGGAAGAGGCTGAAAAGCTGAAGCAACAAGCGGAAGAAGGCGGAACGGAAGCGCTTGGCAGGGATTTAAGAAGATTGAACGGGCTGAGGCCCGAAGGGAAGCGGAGGAGGCTAGGCGCAGGGCTATAGTACGGAAA